TCTTTCTTTCTTTCTTTCTTTCTTTCTTTCTTTCTTTCTTTCTTTCTCTCTCTCTCTCTCTCTCTCTCTCTTTCTCTCTCTCTCTCATACACACACGCGCACACACACACACACACACACACACACACACACAGCACTTAACAGACAAGCATTTTGGAAACAGCTCCTTTAAATTTCTCCAAGGCTGGAGTGGATTCCCCCACCCTCTCTGTCAGACCGCACTCCTTCTCACTCCAGACATTTTAACTCACATGGGGAAAGCGATATTTGCAGCGTCCATGCCTTTTTTCCTTTTCCCCGGGGAGAAAGAGGACGTGGGGAACGGAAAGCTAGGAGACCGATCACAACTGAGCGACCGGGCGACCAGGTTGGAGACGTGGCCAGCCAGGGTTCGCCACCGGTTCGGCAACCCACGCCAAATAACCGCTACCGGTTCACCCGAGTAGGTGCGAACCGGTTGAATACCACCTCTGACTGAGAGGGTGGAAAAAACAACCGCCAAGCTTTGGGGGAGTCTCTTTAGAAGGTCAGTGCTGCACATGGATACGGCTAGTCCTCAACTTACGGCCAACCTTTAAGTTTCTAGGTTCTATCATATCTCAAGACTTAAAATGGACACACTGCAGCCCTGGTCAAAAGGGCCCAGCAGAGATGATACTAACTGAGGCTTCTCAGGAAATAACAACTAGATGGAAAACTGCTGGTGACCTTCTACCACTGCACCAGAGAGAGTATCTTAACTTCCTGCACCTCTGTGTAGGGTTTGCCAATTGCACAGGGGCAGATAGGACAGCACTCCAGGGGGTCAATGTCATTGCCCAGAGGATCCTGGGTTGCCCTCTCCCCTCTTTGGAAGAGCTTCATAGCTCCCACTGCCTTAAGAAAGTTCAAAACATTCTCAAAGATCCATCTCATCCTGGGAATCCTATTTTTTGTGAACTATGACCATCTGGCAGACGGTACAGGATAATAATAAAAACAAGGATAAATAGGCTGAAAAACAGCTTCTATCCCAGGGCAGTAGCTCTGTTGAATTCTACTGTATAATGCAATATGAATGCAATATCAGGGAGTTTGCAATTCAATTGCATAGAATGCAAAGGGTGTGTGTTTGTGTTTATTTTCATAGTCATACTGTACACTGAAGATGGTATTTAATTTCATTGTACGAGGTGCAATGACAATAAAGTAAAGTAAACTAACATCAAAAACATAAGACAACTATGTGGGTTAGGAGGATTGTACCATGTTCAATGTTTTTAATGTTTCATTTTGTTTTTGTGTTTGTTTGTCTAATAAAATAAAAATTAAAAAAAAGTCATCAAAAAAGCACCACAAAGAAAGCTCTTCCTGTGCCAACTCAGGAAGCTCAAACTGCCCCGGAAGCTGCTGATACAGTTTACAGAGGAATGATTGAGTCTGTCAACTGCACCTCTAGAACTGTCTTGGAAGTTAAAACCCAACCCTCTCCTAGGAAAATGAAATATTTTAGGATATACTAAAAAGACAGGATATTTCCCCTAAAAAGAAAAGTAGAAACTCAGAGAGGCAGAAACTCAGCCTCCCACCCCCCCCCCACCTTTGCTAATGGGCCATGACTCTGGCCTGGGCCAGTCTATTTTACATGACAAAGATCTACTCCAGGTAGAGCTATAATAGGAATTGCCCAAAGCTCTTTCATTACATCATCATCCATCAACCAAGTGTGATGCTCAAAAGACAACCTACAGAGTTGCCCCTGCATGGCCCCATGGGAGTCTGACAACCAATCAGAATACAAGCTCAAATTCAAATCCCAACAGAGGGTATAAAACCCAGCATCACTCTCAGCATCGCAGCCCTTCCAATTCTTTGGCGCTCCAAGCCCTGTGGTCCCGTCCACCATTAAACCATCTTTCCAAACAGCCTCCATGTTTCCAGTGTCTTTCTTCCCCACTTGGAACTGAACCCAGAAGGATATTTCTTCCAACAACTGTCTGGAAGGTCACTGTCTGTTCCAAGGTCACTTCCATTGATGTTCTATGATGTTCTCTGCTCAAGGGAGCTTTTGTGCAGGCACAGTAAGGCTTTGCAATTACTGGACTGCACATGACAGAGCATGTACTGCTTTGCACACCGAGAAGATCACAGATTCAATGGAGGCATCTAAGCTACTTCCCTTTATGGTCAAACATCAGGTAGGCGGTCCCTGGAAAATAAAGAAATAAAATAGGAAAAATCCTTACTGTTGACTGTGGCAAGAATCGTGTTGAGAAGGTTCAGGACAACATCAGCAACTGGACACAGCTGTAGCAGTGAAGAAAACAGAGCACAGAATCAAAATCGCGGGAAGTATTAGCACCTCTGGATAAGTAAAGGCCACACCTGGAATTCTGCACCCAGTTTTGGTCACCACGTTACAAAAATGATGTTGAGACTTTGGAGAAAGTGCAAAGAAGAGCAACTAAGATTATTAAAGGCCTGGAGATCAAAACATATGAAGAACGGTTGCGGGATTTGGGTTGGATGTCTAAAGAAAAAAAGAATTAGAGGTGACATGATAACAGGATTGCAGTATTTGAGGGGCTGCCCCAAAGATTAGGGGGTCGATTTATTTTCCGGAGGCCAGGACAAGAAGCAACGGATGAGAAACTGATCCAGGAGAGAAGCAACCTGGAATTAAGGAGAAACTTCCCAACAGGGAGGACAATCCATTGGTGGAATTGCTTGCCTTCAGAAGTTGTGGAGGTTTTTAAGAAGGGACTGGACAACCACTTGTCTGAAATGGTGTAGGATCTCCTGCTTGGGCAGGGGGTTGGACTAGAAGGCCTCAAAAGTTCCTTCCAGATCTGTTATTCTGTTATTCAGTGGAGCAGTTTGCCTTCAGATTTTGTGGGTCCATCACTAGAGGTTTTTAAGAAGAGAATATCTCAAATTGTATAAGGTCTCCTGCTTGAGCAAAGGGGTGGGCTGGAAGACCTCCATGATCCCTTTCAACCTAGTTATTCGTTATTCTTGTGATTCTTTCCATCCAGTCAGGCCCCTGAATCATCTCACCTCCCTCCAGGCAATCGATCTGGTGGTCTACTCTAAGTCCAGCAGATGCTATTTTGATGTGGTCCTTTCCGACCGATGGCCCAGATTGTGAATTTGTGTTCATTGAAGCTACGGTTACTAAAAGAAAGACAGGCAGGGGTGGGATTCAGCCACTTTGGACTGGTTTGAATGAACCGGATGTTACATTTACATCTGGTTCACTGAACCGGTAGTGGAACCGACAGGCTGGACCCACCCACCCTGCCCCTCCCCTTCCAGAAGTTTCCACGTGGCCCATTTTGGATGCAGGTAAGTGTAGCGTTCCCACAGAGACTCTGAGAGGGTGAAAGAGAGGCCTTCCGGAAGTCCAGAAAAGGCCCTGTTTCTGGCTTCAGGAGGGCCTCCGGAGCCTGGGGGAAGCCATTTTGCCCTCCCAGAGGCCTGAGGGAAGCCTCCAGACCCTGGGGAAGGTGAAAAATGGCGCTCCCAGAAGTTCTGGAAGTCCAGAAATGGCCCTGTTTACAGCTTCCGGAGGGCCTCCAGAGCCTGGGGGAAGTCATTTTGCCCTCCCAGAGGTCTGAGGGAAGCCTCCGGACTCCGGGGAAGGTGAAAAACAGCCCTTCTGGAAGTTCCAGTCGGCCACACCCACCCAGCAACCAGGCCGCAAACCAGTTGCTGGGATTTTTGAATCCCATCCGTGGGGACAGACTATCATTTGGTTGGAAGACTCACCAAGCCAGGAATGAGCTGATTCAAAAGAGCACTCAGAACATTGTCCAAGGACAATGGAAGGAGCCTGAAAAAAATGAGTGGAATCGTTAACAATTATTTAAAAAGTTAATTATTATCATTCTTTGCTACATAAAAAAAATTCTGTTGGTCCACAAGAGAAAAATCAAGCTTCATCCTAGGACAACACTGGGACCAATCCCACAGCTTCCTACTACGGGAAGTCCTCGACATATGACCACTATTGAGGCCCAAATTATTGTTGGTTGTTAAGTGAGTTTTGCCCTCATTTTATGACCTTTCTTGCCACAGATAAATGAATCCCTGCAGTTGTTAAGCTGGTAAGATAGCTGTGAAGGGAATCGGGTTCCCCATTGACTTTGCTCATTAAACGGTCACAAAAAGCGATCATGTGACCTCGGGACACTGCGACTGCCATAAATAAAGCTAGTCCTGGATTTACGACCACAAAGGAGCCCTAAATTTCTGTTGCTAAATGAAAAGTGCATTAAGTGAATTTCATCTCATTTTACGACCTTTCTTGTCATGGTTGTTAGGTGGATTGCTGCTGTTGATAAATGAGAAACCCAGTTGTTAAGTGAATCTGGCTTCCTCTATGGACTTTGTTTGCCAGAAGGTCGTAAAAGGGGATCCCCAAGATCCCGGGACGCTGAGACTGTCATAACTATGAAACAGCTGCCAAGTGCCCGAATTTTGATCGTGTGACCGCAGGGGGTTCTGCAACAGTTGTAGTTGCAAAAAAACGGTCATAAGTCACTTTTTTCAGTGCTGTTTAACTTCCAAGGTCCCTAAATGAACAGTTGTAAATCAAGGACTTCCTGTAACCACTTGGTGCTCTGTGATAAAAATCAACCATCCAGGTTTTCATACAACCGGAGACTCTTGAACTTACGCAGTTTTTGCAGAAGGGAATTCTGTGCTCATGGGCAGAGCACACAGAAGACATGTTTCCTAGGAAGGCTGGGGTTTATATACAGTTCCAAATATACAGTCTCTACTCATTTCTGGGTTCACAATCTATCCAGCTAAGCATCACCCTACGCAACGCCCTAATATTGCAGCATACCACCTGTTTCCTTGTCCTGTTTACCCATCCCGATTTCCAGTAATCTCCATCATTATCATGACAGGGGACAGCGTGACCTGCCAAATATATGACCTTCATACAAAACAAAACAGAGAATTCTTACATAATATTCCGGTAAATCATCTTAGGGTAACACAGAGGCCCCAAATGGCGTTACCATTGCTTTATATTTTCACAGGTATAATTTTACATGTCACATGCTCCATCAAGGATGTCTTCAAGAAGAGGTCAGGACATCCAAGATAGGTGAAAAGAGAACCACATCTGTGTGACCCAAGCCAGGACACTTTTTGGTCATGTGACCATGACTTTAGAAAGCCCCTCTTCTAGAAGAATGAAATATTTTGAGGAATGTTTTAAAAAGGCAGAATATTATATTTCCCTGAAGGGAGAAGTGGAGAAACGTGTTTTTTTAGAGGCAGGAAGCAGACTCAATCTTTCTTAATAGCTTCCCTGCCCATGAGCAGATATTTTGTGCCCATTAAGAAAGACTGGACCGTCCCATCTACACAACAAAAGACCTTCATCTCCAGGGTGATGGGTGTCAACTAAAAAATACTTCTTTGGTCTTTTTAGTTGCCAGCAACTCCATTATTGGGAGTGAACATGTCTGGCACTGCCTGGGTGTAGCTGACTCCGAGACACCTAATTCATTGTCAACCTTGACCCCGGTTTTCCCTCCATCCCCTGGGTGTATTGTAATTCGCATTCTCCAATGGGACACCTCCATAGCCCAGAGTCATCAATCATGTTCTCCAGTTAGAATTTTGCCCTACAGAAACTTCAGTCACCTAGTTACTATCTCTGAAAACATTTATGGAATGCACTTTCGATTTCCAAGTTGCCGCACTACTCTTTCAAACCCCCCTCCCTGTCTATTGGCAACTCTTAAAAAAACATAGATACATTTTATGAGTTGATATCTGGAGGCTGACATTGCTCCATAGCCTGACCTGATTGGACAGTCTAGCATCCCTGACCATCCATTCAAAACTTACTCCCCACACACACACATGAAGTGCCTATTTGTGATGTACAAAGACTCACCCTGACAAGATCCGAATGTCACCAAGGTTGGTCCTGCAATTCTCAAGGAGAAGCTTGGGATTTCCCATCTTGTCCAGGACCAGCCGGCTGTTGGCTGTGATGTTCACTTCCACAAGGAGAGTCAACGGCCCTCCCAGAATCCTGAAAAAAAAAATCCCAAAGAAATAGAGACGAGGCTGTTTATCGGACCAACAACCAAAAGTTTCCCAAAGAATCTTCCCAAGTTTGGAGAGAGCTCTGACTTTTTCCATCCATCACAAATATTTACTTATTGGGTTTATATCCCAAACATTTCATGTAGGAGCTCAAGAACATTCAGCTAAGGGTTCCTTCTTCAATTCTACCTCCAGAGAAAGTGGGACAACCTCAAAATCCTAAATTAAGAGTAGATTTGAAGGTGAACCTCACCGATCACTGATCAACCCTTTCCATATGACACCAGTGATTTTTCTTCTTTGGTTTCCTGACCTTGACGGATGTTTTGTGCCTTCTTAAAGGCATGTCTCCTAACTGTTGTTCCTACAATACCAAATCCTGATTTAACTATTTGAAGATACTACAATTTTTCTAGAGGAGGACAGATAATCAGAAGACCTCCCTTTCTTGAAAATCCCATGTCCCACGGATCTTACTTTTGAATCAACCATGGTTGAAAGCTAGGAAGCCTCTCAGGACAGCATCACTTCCTGGGGATTAAACCAGGCAAGATGGTGGAGGCGGTGTTACGATCCAAGTCTTACCTCTTTGTGTGTGCAACAACAAGGCACTTAAAGAGATGCAGGTCTTAGATTGCGATGGCCATATCTATTGTTCTAACTAAACATAACACACAAGTCAATGTTTTCTCTTTCTCTACAAAATGGCTAACTCTACTCTACTCTACTCTACTCTACTCAACTCTACTCTACTCTATTCTATTCTATCTCTGACAACTAAAGCTGGAAGGAAGAAGCAGACTAGGAAATGCTACCTGTGGAAATATCAGCCAAGAAAGGGATCAAGATTTGCTATTTCCCAAGGAAACCAACTCACGTGTTGCCCTTGAGGGCTATTTTGGTGTAAATGTTCAAGCCAAGACCAACGGGGAAAAGCTTCAGGGTAACTTTAGGAAGGGTGATGTCCACGAGCTTCAGCCTGGAGATAAAAATGAGCTTTATGGTTAGCAACAAAAACTAAAATTATGAAGGACATTCAATGTCATAACCCTGAGTGGTGCGGTGGCCTAGAGGTCCAGCTCTTGCCTGACAATCAGGAGGCTGTGAGTTTGATCTGAGGTAGAGGCACAAATTTCTTTTTCTTGGTATGATGAGCATATATTATCTGCTGAGCAAAACTCCTCATTGGTGACAGGTAGGGCATCTGGCCAGTAAATACTTAGCTCCATTCAGTTGCCCAGACTCCACCCCGAAGCAAGGGATTATGGGGTCACTAAAGGAGATGATGATTCAATGTCATAACCCTAGACATGTTAAATCTAACTTTTTCCATGGGACTTAGGTTTCGCTGATCTACATTTGGGGTCCACGTATGTAATGGACTGTGTGCATGTCTGTGTGCGTCTGTTATGAAGTGTGGGACGCAGAGAGAACTGGGACAGGAGAATGGTCTTCATCACTATCTATCTGCTCAAAGTAAAGCAGGCAGCATATTAAAAAAAAGCATGAAAACAAGCAATAAGTGACCAGGTAAAGTTTTCCAAGGCTAAGTAATTCAGAAGGCAGAAGAAAGAAACCTAGAATTTAGATGGAAAAACTCAGAAATGTAATTATCTTTCTGTGTGTTTGCTCTGCAGACGACAACCAAATGTTCCCTTAGAGGCTTGAGTCATGTCTGCAACATGTCTGCATGTTTCTATCATAGCAATAGCACTTAGACTTATATACCGCTTCACGGTGCTTTTACAGCCCTCGCTAAGCGGTTTACAGAGTCAGCCTCTTGTCCCCAACAATCTGGCTCCTCATTTTACCCATTTTGGAAGGACAGAAGACTGAGTCAACCTTGAGCCTGGTGAGATTCGAACTGCCAAATTTCAGGCAGCTGGTGGGCAGCAGATGTAGCCTGGAGGATTGAACCCAAATCAATGCGCCACCGTGGCTCCTTGTGGACTCATGTTGGAGTCTTCTGTTGAGTCATGTCAAGAACTAAAGAACTGAAGATCTAATTTAACATCAAGCCAAGGTATAAAGTCTGACAATAGGCAACTCACCCCAGAAGACCTTCACGTCCAAGGACACCACCAAGAAGTCCTCCATTTGGACCTCCAAGGACACCACCAAGAAGTCCTCCACCTTGGCCTCCAAGAACACCATCAAGAAGTCCCCCACCTTGGCCTCCAAGGACACCATCAAGAAGTCCTCCACCTTGGCCTCCAAGAACACCATCAAG